GTGTCACCCTGTCCCTGTGTCACCCTGTCACCCTGTCCCTGTGTCACCCTGTCCCTGTGTCACCCTGTCCCTGCCTCCTCATCCCCGCCTCTCCAGCCTTGTCACTGTCCCCAAGTCCCCAGCCCCACATCCCTCGTCCAAATCCCCATCTCCACGGTGCTGTCCCCATCCCTTGTCCCCTCGTGTCCCTGTCACCGTCCCTGTGTCCCAATCCCACCCCTGTATCTCTGTCCCCGTGTCCTTGTCCCCATCCTGTCCCCGAGCTCGTCCCCTCGTTCTTGTCCCTGCCTCAATCAGCGTGTCCCCATCTTTGTCCCCACCCCTGTCCCCTGTCCCCATCCCTGTCCCCTGTCCCCATCCCTGTCCCCCCAGCTGTCCCAGGAGCTGGCCGAGCTCCAGGAGCGCCGCAGGGACATCGGGGAGCGCTGGCAGGACAAGCTGGAGTGGCTGCAGACTGGTGAGGACTGGGAGGGTCCCCCGTGTCCCCTCTGTGTCCCCCGTGTCCCCTCTCAGTGCCCAGGAGTGGCCCCAGGGTGGCTCTGGGGTGACCCAGGGTGGCTCTGGGGTGTCCCAGGGGTGTCCCAGGGGTGGCTCAGGGGTGCCCCGGGGGTGTCCCTGTACCCTGTGTCCCCTCTGTGTCCCCCGTGTCCCCTCTCAGTGCCCAAGGCTGCCCCAGGGATACCCCAGGGGTGTCCCCGTGCCCCCGGTGACAGCCCCCGTGCCCCAGTGCTGGAGGTGCCCCATGTCCCCTCTCAGTGCCCAGGGGTGCCCCAGGGGTGTCCCAGGGGTGTCCCTGTACCCTGTGTCCCCTCTCAGTGCCCAGGAGTGGCCCCAGGGTGGCTCTGGGGTGTCCCAGGGGTGTCCCAGGGGTGTCCCTGTACCCCGTGTCCCCTCTCAGTGCCCAGGGGTGTCCCAGGGGTGTCCCAGGGGTATCCCAGGGGTGTCCCTGTACCCTGTGTCCCCTCTCAGTGCCTGGAGTGGCCCCAGGGTGGCTCTGGGGTGTCCCAGGGGTGGCTCAGGGGTGCCCCGGGGGTGTCCCTGTACCCTGTGTCCCCTCTCAGTGCCCAAGGGTGCCCCAGGGGTGTCCCCGTGCCCCCAGTGACAGTCCCCATGCCCCAGTGCTGGAGGTGCCCCGTGTCCCCTCTCAGTGCCCAGGGGTGTCCCATGGGTGTCCCAGGGGTGTCCCAGGAGTGGCCCAGGGGTGTCCCAGGGGTGTCCCCGTGCCCCCGCTGACAGCCCCCGTGCCCCAGTGCTGGAGGTGCTGGTGTTCGGGCGCGACGCGGCCACGGCCGAGGCGTGGCTGGCCAGCCGGGAGCCGCTGGCCCGCGCCCCCGAGCTGGGCTCCAGCCTGGCCGAGGCCGAGACCCTCCTCAAGCGGCACCAGAGCTTCCAGAAGGCCGCGGCCGCCTGGGACGAGAGAT